TGCCAAGTGGCTGCTGTTCCAAAAGTTGGTTTCTGCATGGAGGGGGCTGCCTGGAACCTCAGAGCCATTTCCCATGGAAACAATGCTCTCGATGATGGGTGACGGGCCCACAGAGGCCTATTTAATCTGGCACTGAGAGCTGAGATGCCAGTGTGGCTTCTAATGGAGGAGGAGGTGGGGTGGGGGGTAGAGGAGGAGGAAGAGGAGGAGGGTGGCAATCAAGGAGCCTCAGAGCAGAAGAACCATGGGCGAGGGGGGGGGGGGGGGGGAATGCTGCCTGTCTTCTGAGATCAAAGGGAAAAAGGCAAGAAAGGAAATACTGGGGCACCTTCTCTGAGCTGAGCATATTCCATACATTTCTATTTCATGCTCAGAGCAATTCTGCAAAGTGTGATTCTCTAACCAAACCCTCTTTACAAGTCAGATGCTGAGGCCATGAAAGGAATTTGCCCAAGGTCATTCAACTGGCCAGTAGGAGAGTACCCGGCACAGCAAATTAGTGGGGAAACTTTGAGAAGAACCCAAGTCTATCTTATATACCACTTTCCTACCTCAGAAGGGCCCATCTATGGTCCCCACAAGTGAAGAGCCAACATTCTAGAATGATCTCCAGGGTGCCTTCTCGCTGAGAGGACTGGAAAAGAGAGGGAAATTGCGAATGTAAGCACTTTGCTTCTTAACCACTGACCGACTTTTATCCCGCAGTGACTTCAATCATAGCCTATTAGTGGCTTTTTAAAAATTCTCTGTGCCACGTGAGATCAACTTATTCTGTAGGAGAGGGATGCCTGCCTCTTGATATCTTGGCCATACTTCCTATTTACAAAGACATCATTTGGTCAGAGGGTTTTTCTGGGTGGAAAGACATGCCCATCAGGAGAGGATTCAGCCTAGAGCCTTCGTGAATTGGGGTGTTCTCTGGACTCATTCTCCCTCTTTGGCAATGCTTTCTTTCTTTCTGAGCTTGTACTTGTTCCAGAAGGGTCCTCCTATCTATGGCATTGGTCTGACCTCTTAGAGTCAGTCCTACTCCCTGGCTGAGAGTTGAATCTTGTCTGCATGGTAAGGGCCAGCTCTGGATGATAGGTCACCTGGCGGCTGTTCAGAAATACCAGTGTCCAGCACATGCCCACCCTATGCCAGTGCTGTGCCAGGTTCTGGGGACAGAGAGGAGCAAGATGCAGCCCCTGTCCTTGTGTGCATAGGAACATGTACAGGATCCAAAGTGTGATGGTGGCCTCTGCGCCAGGAACCACAGGGCTCAAAGTGCAGGGTGGTGTCTCCCTTGGGAGGTGACTCTGGGCTTGGACGTGACCCAAGAAGGAGTGTGTGCCCTCCCAGGTGCCTGGGTATATGTGGAGTGTGCTCTGTGACCACAGGGAACCCTGGGAGGACCCAAAGCTGGTTGGGGGTGAGAGGAAAGTATGAAGGGCTATGGCACCAGCGTGGCTGGAGAGGTTAGCCCTAAATGACAAGGTGACAGGACTCAGATGTCCAGTGAAGGAGCCTGGACTTGACTTATCAGCTGTGGGTTTCACCAGAAGGGTTTGCAGCACAAGGGACCCAGCCTGGTGTGTGGCAACCACAGAGTTCCTCTTCCAAAAGTCCAAGTTAGAAGGAAGTCCCAAGTGGGACGGTAACCCCACGACATGGTTCCCTGTGCCCTGTGGGGTTCAACCCCTGAGTGTAGGGTGCTGTGAAAAGGAGGGTGCCCAGCTGCCCATGTCCTGCCAGCTGTCTTGGCAAGCAGAGGGCATTTTTTGAGCAAGTCCCCAGGTGATTCTGCTGTGGGTGGTCCGAGCTCTGTCTCAAAGGTTAAGTTCATGGCCTCTCATATTTACTAGTGTGTTATCTTGTTTTCCTTCGAGAAGAAAATCAACAGAAATGATTTTACTTCCCCATACCTTCCCACCCACTTAGTACACTGTGGCTGCCAGCAGAGAATGGAAGCTTTGGAAATCACCCCTAACACCAGCAGACACGTTTCGGCCCTGGCCGTGGGTCATGGTGCACCCCAGGCGAGAACAACCACGGTTCACGGGGGGTCGTGAGGAGCTGCTCTGAGACGGAGAGGAGGGAGGGAGCTGGCCCTTCCTGTCCTCTCACTGTTTCTGCCACCCTCTGCCTCCCCTCTGGCCCCTGTGGACCACCACCGATGCCGTAGATTAGCCATGAGAGAGCTCAGTGAATTGAAGCCACAGCTCATCTCCATCTTTGTAGCAAGATGCAGGAATCAGATTCTGGGGCTGCAGCCAGTGCTGATCCCATCCTGACCCAAAGGAGCTAAATAAAATGAGAGAGAACTGAACTTTTTCAGGTGGCTTAGACATTTTACTATTGTCAAAGTTTTCCAGTATACGAATATTATGCAGTCATCCCTCGGTGTCCAAGGGGGATTAGCTCCAGGACACCCCAAGGACACCAAAATCCTCAGATGCTCAAGTACCTTATATAAAATGAGACAGTATTGCATATAATACATCTTCCCATCTCTATATTACCTACATGCCTAATACACAATAAATGCCACAACAATTGTATTGTTCAGGGAAAAATGATAAAGAAAAAAAGTCTGTAAACGTTTAGCGTAAATGTAATTTTTAAAATATTTTCAATCCACAGTTGGTTCAGTCTGAATGCAGACTCATGGATGAGTAGGTATGACTGTGCATTACCTGTTATAGAAAATTGAAACAGAGAGGAAATCAAAGGACCCTGCAGGGAGACAACCTTCTAAACCCCTCAAAGCCAGATTCACCCCTGGATGTGTAGATAGATTCATTGGCGGGTACCTTCCTAGAAGTGGGATTATATGTATTTGCTACTTTGCAGCCTAGCTTCCCCCCACCTCTATACATACTACAACATTTTTAATATCATCCTTGTTAATTATTCCATTACATAGACAAACTTCTTTAATTCTCTTCTCCAACATTTAAGTCATTTCCATTCCCCTCCCCCATTCCCAACATCTTTGTACACGTCCCTGATTATCTCCTTAGAATAAATTCTCACATGCTTACAGCTGTGGGAGAGGGTACATCCATTTTCAGTTCTGATATGTTTATGCAAGTGTCTCCCTCCCCCAGGCCTGAGGGTATCAAAGTGCATACTTCCCTTATACTGGGGGAAGTCCTAAATGTCAACATCAGGCTTCAGTGACTGCAAAGGATTCCACAACCACTCTGGCCTGTAACCCCATGCAAATCAGGACGGCCACAGAACCCACATTTGTGTCTTTCTGACACAACCTAGAATTGAAGACTCTTTTAGAGATGAAAATAGAAATGAGGAGCACCCAAGCCAGCCCTATAATCTAATAGATAAGGAAACTGTGGCTCAGAGAGATCAGAATCCTCTCCCAAGTAGGGGTGTCATACAGGAGCCCCCGTTCCTTGTCCTGTGGGCCACGTTGCCTCCCTCCCTTGGTGAGACCATAAGTCACACACGGTGGCTTTCCCCTTCCAGCTTGCACGGGAACTTTCCCCTTTGCTTCTTCTGGAAGGTGGGGTGGAGCTTTCTTTCCCTCTGTTAACACCCAGTTTTCATGCTACCAAGGAGGCCCCAACAGGAGGACCCAGCTCCTCCCTGGCAGGGTCCACAGTGAGCAGCTAACACTCCTAATTGTTCTTCAGGTAACACCTCCCTACCAGTGCTGGCAGCCTCCTCTTCCTGGAGACTGTTGGCTCCTATCACTGTGACACTTGCTGGTTTCCCTCCTGTTTTTCGGATTGCGCTTTCTTTCCATGACCCCTGCCTGTCTGTCTTCCTTGACACTATTTCCAAAGGTCACTCTTAACTCCTCTGCAGTCACCTCTTCACATCAGTCTATATCTGTGAAGGGGCCAGGTCGTCGTCTTCTACTCCTCCTCCTCCTCTTCCTCTTCCTCCTCCCCCTCCCCCTCCCTCCCCCCTCCCCCCTCCTTCTCGCCTGCTTTATTCCACATGTCTTGCCTCCTCCTCCTCCTCCTCCTCATCCAGGCTCCTCTCAAACTTTTGCATTCAAGTGATGCTTCTGCCTCAGCCTCCTGGGTGGCTGGGACTACAAGCATGCACCACGATGCCTGGCTTCCAACAGCCCTGCAGAATCCTGTCCCACATTTCCAGCTGCCTCCTTAGCTTAGGGTTTTTCAGCTTTGGCAATGCTCTGTGATGGGGGACCATCCTGTGCAGTGTGGGATGGTTCAGCAACATCTCTGGTCTCTGCTGACGAGATGCCAGTGGCATCCACTCAGTTGTGACATCCAAAAATATCCCAAGACATTGCAAGAATCCTTGAGGGGGCAGAATCACCCCTGGTTGAAAACCGCTGCCTCAGTCCAGACTTGGCATCATCCAAATAAAACTACCACCTCAGGCTCCCCTTCCTTTTCCCTAATGAAAACAGGGTGGCCAGTTGCCCTTAGGTTCCAAAATGACCATGTGTGGTAAAGGCCAAGGAAACAGGGAGAGGAGCCAGAATTCAGAGAGTTGGAGGAGCCTCAGAGTCCCTGAGCATAGGTGTGCTGAGTAATTATGGCATTTTGCTCTAAGCCCAGACACAGCTTCAAATCCTCAGCATAGCATTCCTATTGATAAGAGATGTTCCAGTCGATAAAGACGATGTGAAAGGTGGACCTTTGTGTGCTCTGACCAAAGCCCTCGTGTTTACCTGTAAAGTTTGAGGGCAGAGTTTAGTTCTGAACTAAGCCCTTTAACAGAGCGTTTGACTGTGATTTGTTAAAGAAGAACAGTGGTACTGTGTCCCCCAAACCAGTCTGGCACATAGTTGGTGTTCAATAAAAGGTGGCAGAATTAAGTCCTTTGAACAGTGATGGTCTCCGTGTGGTAGATCCAGGGATGATACTTTTATTTTCTTTTACTTTCCCTCATTTGGAACCCTTTCCACTTTGGGGAGTACTTGTTACTTTATGAGAAGGGAGGAAAACCCGTGAATATTTCCCCCTAATTGAAAAAGAAAAAAAGTCCCCTGCTTTATTCCACATGTCTTGCCTCCCCAGGTCTGACCTCCCAGCAACATGGCAACCAGCGCCGTCCCCAGTGACAACCTCCCTACGTACAAGCTGGTGGTGGTGGGGGACGGGGGCGTGGGCAAGAGTGCCCTCACCATCCAGTTTTTTCAGAAGATCTTTGTGCCTGACTACGACCCCACCATTGAAGACTCTTACCTGAAACATACAGAGATTGACAATCAATGGGCCATCTTGGACGGTGAGACTGGGTGACAATCCTGCTTGGTGTTAGTTGGGGAGGATCTGGGAAATTTAACAAGTTTCAGTGGGACCAGATGGTTTCCTTCTTGTCATTATGGGGAGGTTGGTATAAGGCTGTATTTGATTTGCTGGGTGAATTCTGAACAGGCAAGTCCTTCACAGAAGCCTTGAAGTGCTTTGTGGAAACCAAAATATACCAGAATCATACCAACTCAGCAATGTCATGTTTGTTATTGCTTGCTTGATCCGAAGCTCTGATTAACAGTTAAAGATGTCTCTAGCTAATAAACAAGGGAAAGACAAATTATTTCTTAATAAGCATAGTGTATTTTGTAATTGTCTTTGGGGAGGGAATCTTGATATGACATTGTGTTTCTCTTTTGGTCTAAATTAGTATTTCTCAAAGTGTGATGCCATGGAACTTATTAGAAATGCAAATTATCAGGCTTTTGCTAATTTAAAAATTCTGAGGGTGTGGCCAACAATCTGTTTTAATACACCACCCATGTAATGCTGAATTTAGAGACCACTGCTGTAAATTCTTACTGATAATTAGCTCACTATTCCTGAGCTTCTTAAACAAAGACCCATTAATCACACAATATTGGTCTAGGAGGGAGCTCTGAAAGCCTCTGAGATATAAGTTCTCTATCAAATATGCGATCTGCATGAATTTTTTTCCCAGTCTGTAATTTGTTTTTATTCCTTTACAAGTTTCTTTCAAAGACCAGAGTGTTTAATTTTGATGAAGTCCAGTTTATCTGCTTGTTCTTTTATGTATTGTGCTTTGGGTATTATGTCTAAGAAATCTTTGCCTAACCCAAGGTCACAACAGTTTTTCCTGTTTTTCTTCCCTAGAAAAATGTAATGGTTTTAGATTTTACATTGAGGTTTATAATAATGAGTTGATTTTTACATAAGACATGAGGACAGAAGAAAGTTCATTTTTCTATAAATGGTTCTGCGGTCATTCCAGCACTTTTTATTGGAAAGATTGTCTTTCCCCCCCCCACAAAATGCCTTTGTATTCTGGTGAAAATCCCTTGTCCGTATAATCTATTTCTTTGATCTGTTTGTCTTTCTTAACACCAGTAACACACTGTCTTGATAACTGTAGCTTTATAATAAGGCTTGAGGTCAGATAATGTTAAATCGTTAAATCTCCAACTTTGTCCTTTTTCAACATTGTTTTGGCTAGTCTAGGTCTTGAGTATTTCCATAGGTATTTTAGAATCCGTCAAAATTCTGTAATTTAGGACTATGTATACTAATTTGAGGAGAACTGACATCTTAACAAAATTGAGCCATCTAACCCATGAACACATCATCATTACTCTTCTTTTATTTAGGTCTTCTTTAATTTCATCAATTTTTTTTAAAGTTTTGAGTAGAAAGACATTTTACATATTTTATCAGATTTTTACCTACATTTGTATTGGTGCTATTGTAAATGATTTTTTAAATTTCAGTTTTCAATTGTTTGTTGCTATTATATGTAAGTACAATTGATTATTATGTTAATCTGATAGCTGGCAGGTTGAGAAACTGATTTATTAGCTCTAGTGGCTTTTTTTGTAGATTCCACTGAATTTCTCTGCATTGTCACATCAGTGATAAAGGCAGTTTTAATTCTTCCTTTCCAATATGGATAGCTTTTATTTCTTTTTCTTGCCTCATTTCATTGACGAAAGCCTCCAGTGCACTGTTGAACAGAAGCAGGAAAAAGAGAAGTGCTTGTCTTACTCTAGATCTGAAGGGGGAGCTTCCAGTCCTTCAGTGTTAAGTACAAATTAATTAAGCGTTAGCTGGAGATCTGTTACAGATGGCTTTTGTTACATCAGGGAAGCCTCTTTATATTCCTAGTTTGCCAAAGGCTTTTCTTCAGAAACAGATGCTGGATTTTGTCAAATGTCTTTCCTGTGGCTACCAAGATAATCATATGGTTTTTCCTTTTTCATTTGTTAATTTGGTAAATAATGTTTTTTTTTTTTTCCTACTGTTAAACCAACCTTGCATTCCTGGGACAAATATCTTTGGTTATGATATGTTATCTTTTAATATACTGTGGACTTTGATTTGCTAAAATTTTATTGAGAATTTTTATATCTATGTTTTTGAGGGATATTAGTCTGTATTTTTCTTGTATGTCTGTCTGATTTTAGTATCAGAGTCATGCTGGACTTCTATAATGAGTTGGGGATTATCCCCTTTTCTTCAATTTTCTAGAAGAGTTTGAGCCACATTGGTATTATTTCTTCTTTATACACTTAGTAGAATTTGCCAACAAGGCCATCTGGAACTGGAGTTATCTTCGTGGGAAAGTTTTTAACTACAAATTAAATTTCTTTAATAGATACAAGCCTATTCAAACTATCTCTTTATTCAATGAACTTTGGTAGTTTGTGATGTGACTGAAATTTTGTTTGTTGGAGGTGCTGGGGATTGAACTTGGGGCTCACACATGCTACCGCTATACCACTGAGCTACATTCCCAGCATCCAAAATTTATTAAAGTCATCAATGTTATCAAGTCTGTTGGCATAAAGTTGTTTATAATATTCTCTTATTATCTTTATAATATCTGTAGCATCTATAGTGATGTCACTTATTCCTAATATTGGTAACTTGTGACTTCTATTTTTTTCTCTAATCCTGCTGGCTAGAGATTTATGAATCTTATTGATTTTTCTCAAAGAACTAGTGTTTGCATTCATTGATTTTCTTATTTGGGTCCACTGATTTTTCACTCCTTTCCTCTTGCCTGCTTATTTTGGATGTAATTTTCTTTTTCTAATTTCTTAAGGTGCAAACTGATGTCTTTGAGACATTTCTTCTTTTCTAAGCTATTTATCTGGTGCTTTAAATTTCTCCTAGTCCTTTAGCTGCATCCCATCAATTTTAATGGGTTTTATTTTCATTTTCATTTAGTCCAAATTCTTTCTAATTTATCTTTGGATTTTTTTCCTTGACCCATAAATTATTTAGAAGTATATTATTTAGTTTTCAAGCATTTTGGAACTTTTCAGAGATCTGTCTGTTCTTGATCTTTAATTCCATTGTATCAGAGAATGTGCGGTGTGTTATTTGAACTTATTGAGACATTTCTTATCATCTGTCTTGGTAAATGTTTCATGTGCGTATGGAAAGAACTTGTGTTCTGTCATTGGGTGGAGTGTCTATGAATGCCAATTAGATCAAACTGGCTGAAAATGTTGTCTAAGACTTCTACGAATTTATTGATTTTCTGGATACTTTTTCTATCAATTATGAAGAAGAGGAGTATTGAATTTCTGTGCATAATTGTAGATTTACCTGTTTTTTCTTTTCAGTTCGATGTATGGTAATGCTCTGTTCGTAAATACATAAATGTTTAGGATTGATATATCCTCTTGAAAAATGGGCTCTTCAATTATTATAAAATGACTTTCACTCTCTCTGCATTTCCTATTCCTACCCTGAAGCCTGGAAACCCAGAAGGCCATAAGTTAGGGAGTCATAGATGCTCTCATTGATTTTATATCCATCTCTCAGGGAACATTCTCCTTCATTGCCTGATGTTTGGTATCTTGACAACAATTGTTTCATATATTTTGCCTGTTTTTTGGTTGTTTGGGGTGAGAAGGTAAATCTGGTCCCTGTTGCTTCATCTCGGCCAGAAGCAGAACCAAATCATTATTTAAACAAAACAAAACAAAACTACGTGTCATGACATATACCTATAATTCCAGCGACTTAGGAGGCTGAGACAGGAGGAACACAAGTTTGAGGCCAGCCTTAGCAACTTAGGGAGACCCTGCCTCAAAATAAAAATTAAGAAAGTAAAAAGATCTGGGGATGTAGCTCAGTAGCAAAACATCCATGGGATTTAATTCCTAGTACCAAACAAACAAAAACAACTTTGTGAACATACTAAAAAATTACCAAACTATACACTTTAAGGGGGTGAAGAGTGTGGTGCATGAATATCTCCATTAAGAAAGCACCATCTTGGGCTGGGGTTGTGGCTCAGTGGTAGAGCTCTTGCTTATCCCATGTGAGGCACTGAGTTTGATCCTCAGCACCACATATAATTAATTAATGAAGCATCCATCAACAACTAAAAAAATATTTTAAAAAAAGAAAAAGAAAACACCATCCTTCGGGGCTTGTCTGCAGCTGGGACTTTGACCAGTCCCACTGAGTACCAAGCATGTTCCCACTTTGGGGACTTGGCACGTGGTGTTTTCTCTGTACTATATGTACTTCCTGAAAAGATGCTCATTTCATTTAGGCTTCAGCTTAAATGTCACTTTATCTGGGAGATCGTCTCTGACCAGGCCATCTGTACTAGTGTCCATGCATCCTGTCCATGTCCATTCCATCTCCCTGCTCAACTCTGTTTTTCTTTATTCTGCCCTTCACTGTTGAACACATCCCATATTATTTATGAGTTTCTGCCCCACTCCCACTAAAATACAAATTTGTGACAGCAGGGACTTTATTTACTGCAATATCTCCCCAGCATCTGGAATACCGCTTGGCTTATCGTAGGTCCTCGGTAAACACTTACAGAATGAACAAATGAATGAATGAATCCTGAAACATGTTACGTGGTCACATGTTGATGTGATATCTATATTATTTTATTTCTATTCACACTTATTTATATGGTGTGTGTGTGTAACTATTACAATTAAAATTTTACACTTAAGCACTTTCTAAAATAATTTCATGTATCACCTATGAGAATAAATATCACACTTGGGATATACTGAATTAAATAAATGCAAACAAGTTTTTTTAACTGCAGGACTTATAACAACCTTTAATATAATAAATACATATTAGAAGCATATTGGTAAGATATAGTGTTCTTAAGACTCCCCAAAGGGACCATTTTTTGGTACAGCATTCTGGGCTATGTTCCACAGGGAAAGAAATATTACATGATGCTTTTAAGAGATGAACTCTGTGTCTGGTACATAACTGTAGCTCAATCAACATTGTTTCTCTCTACAG